AAATAACAATTAGAACTTTGTTTGATGCCTATTCTCTACACTTCTAAAGCTATCCAACTTCCCTATCTAACAAACTTACTTTTATATCCTTTAATATTCTGAATACTCGGCCTTAAAACTGAAGATCTACAATACTACTATGGCCTCCATGTAACAGTATCTTTACACTCATTTTAATATTGCTCAGTCATTGTGAAAATAAAGAGTAAATTACTTTTTGTGCCTGTAATCCCTAGTCAAACCCTACCAGAGCTAGCCACCATCACATTACCTATTAAAAAAATGTTACCACAATTCAAATTGCATCACAAGGGGGTTGGACTAGATGATCTTTCAGGGTCCCTTCCAAACCCTAACATTCTGTGATTCTGCATGAGGTGACAGCAGACAAAAAGATAGTAACAACTCAAGTAATACAAAAAAGTATAATTGAAACATATATATAATACCATAGAGTGCTTCCAGATGATGCACAAAACAAGCTGAAATGATGCGCTATGAAGCAGATGCTGAGGTTTCATAATAATTGGAAAAAGTAGTGTTTATCTAAGTTCACATCATTACCCCACTAGTAGCTGACTACTTCCATAAGTGACTGATTTTGAAAAAAAATGAGGCATTTTTTCATCTGAGACATTGCAATTCTTAGCATGGATAGGTCTCATGATCTGCTCACTACTTGGAAGCAGTGCATATCTTTGCTGACATTGTGACTTGCATCTGAAGGTGATGGGTTTCTTAGATTCTCTCAGTCAACTATTGTGCCTTCAGGAGTGTGGCAGCAACGATGTTCTCCAACACACTCAACATACTAGCATAGCTTTTACTTACAAATCCTAATATCTTAAATCTGTAAACATTCATGCTCAAGCCTCTGCCATGACTCAAAGATAATAAACAACAGCCCATCATAAATTATACACAGCAGCAAATTAGGCTGATGATTTATGAAAATGGTAAGAAAAAATGCCAACATGGTGAAATTGATATAAAAAATGCTCAGAAAATGAACCAAATGTTTTCTTTTTCTGTTCTTACAGGATAAGTGTACAATAACGATGGGAAAGAACTGCCAAATTCTTATGTGTGAACTACAACAAAATGCTGATCTGATCAAGTTTGCTTCTTAACCACCAGAAATCTATTTCTTTTACTAAAACTTTCATACAGTTTAGGGATTAGGCACGTGTGGCATTCAACATCAGATGCAGGACGTACTTTAGTTACCAGGAAAATTTTGCTGGAATGTAATTTAACCAGTTGACAATATTTGTCAACAGGACATTTTTGAGATTAGGATTTTAGGGACCACATTTAAGCCTGAAAAAAAAAAGAGATGTCAGCAAAGTCAGTTCATATTAGATATGATTCTTCTGCAAGTAGCCCTCATTCAGATATACGGGACTCCTCTGTGTGTAGAAGAATTCTACCTTTACAGTTTTATTTTGGTAGTGCAATTAAAATTGCTTTTGCTTTGATAAAAATTTATCAATAAAATTAGATGTCCAAAAGAAAACAATCACAGTTTGAGATTTAGCATTTTATAGGAAATTAAAAGCAAATTAACACAGTTCTTTTTGACCTGTAGAGCCTTTAGGTAGAATGCTAACTAAAACCTCTGCTAACCGTTGTCTGGAATCTGCTTGGACACGAAATCCATCAACCTAGTCTCCACTATTTTTTTTTTTTTTTTACTTACAGTATTCTTTCTAGAGGAAGCTTTTACCACTACAGTGGAAATTATTTTTTATTCAGTTTTGTTGAGTGAAATATAATTCTGCTAGAGTGAAATATAAGTGTCATTTACTGATCATTTATATTTTGAATACATAACTCAAATAATCCAAGGACAGTTTTCTTTTGATCACAGTTAAAGTATTTAATGACAAAATCAGGGTTTCCAGTAATGACTCAAGAGAGCAGGTCCCACTTTTTTTTCCCCAGAATGGCACAAAATAATTTCTACATCTTTGAGAACTTTCAAGGAATTAGTTACAATAAATACCAGCAAGTATTACAATTCTGGCATATCATAGCAAAACCTACCTACCTTTAAGAACACTTTTTAGAGAGCACATTTTTGTTAATATTTCACATAATGCACAACTTTTGCTAAACACAAAAGTAGCCTTTTAAGACAGAGTTTGCAGTACAGTAGTCAAGTCTAACATTACATTATTTTTATTCTTTGCAGAACTTTAAAAAGATAAAGAAACTATCAATGTTGTTACAATTTACAAATACATTCTTTCATATGAAACATTAACCTGAATTATAGTATATGTTATGTACATGACTATCTAATAATACTAGGTTGTATACACTACAAGCTAAGTTCCAGAAGGAAATTGCAATGCTGTAAGATTTACCTTTGGATAGACATTTATACACCTCTGATTTTTCTAAAAACTACCAAATCTTGTAGTTTAATGAACAGCAAGAACAAAGTAAACACACACACAAACTGCTCTTCCTTCATTCAATAACACTAGGTTGCTCAGAATTCCCACAGTACATGGCTTTTCATGGCTGGATCAAAGTCCTGAGTTATGGTACAAAACACAATACACTTAACTGGAGGATATAAACAAAAATGCTGAAAAACTGTCAGTGGGACCAAAGTAGTCAGAACAGTTCAACCCACAAAAGGTCTGGAACTTAGCAGTGCAAATGTGACCTTGTCCTGTCCAGATGATATTCATGTAAACATCCGGGAACCAATGCCTTTTTATCTGAATTTAGACAACTAACTCTTCTCAGGTTTCTCTCATCTGGGGTTTAGGCATTTCTTCTAAATGATTGACAAGCTCAAAAGACCAGCTAGGTGGCAGCAGTTCAAAACCTACTCCTTCTTTCTAAAGAAGGACTTGTGAGGTTAGCAGCAGAATACAGTTGAAAAAGTACGAGTGTAAAAGACGATTGGTATGGGGTCAAAAATGTACTCCCTGACTAATTTCTAATGCAGCTATTTTTTAAAAATAGCCTAACGTTTTGTCTCTAGCAGAAGTTTAATTTCTAATGAGGGACCATTTTCCTGGTTAATTTGCAGAAATACCCATAGACATTACAATAGCGCTCAAGAAAGCAACTGGCACTTCAAGGGCAAGCATTTATTGTACGTAGCTCAACGGAATGTTCAGAACTCATGTCATTAATGAGCCTCTTCTGACTTATAACAGATGTGGCCAAATTCCTTTTCAGTTGATGGTGCTGGATGTAGTAACTGTTGGAGCTGATGCTAAATAGATCTAAATGATCTTACGGTACTACACAGATGATGAATTTACCCCTTTCTCTCAATTCCCAGTGTGAAATTAAATAAAAAGCTTCATACAAACCAGTTTAAATTACTGGGAAAAAAAACCCAACCAGATGTAAAGTTTGAATGCAATCAGTTAACTAGACAGTGTCCTTAGTTCAAATGAGAATGTTTTCCAAAAGCCAAGTATCGTTTTACAAAATGAGTACTTCCAAGAGATTCTCAGTTACATCAGCTTGCAGTAAATAAAATATTCTCAATTACTACAGAAGCTTTCGTCTCTCTTACAAGCACTGCTTTGAGGATCTTAGTCTGTTTAAAGGGTCATTAATAATGCAAAAATCTTGTTCTACATTAAAAATGAAAACTACAGTACATTCATATAGTGCCAGCTTTCTGTCTCTCTGTAAGATGAGGACAGGAATGAAGACCAGGCATCTCCAGAAGATGAAGGCTGAAACTTCTGCTAGGATTTCTGTTTCTAGCTTACTGGTTGGAAAGCAAGAAAAAAAGTGCAGCAGCTTTTTTTTTTTGTCTTTTTTTTTTCCTTCATTCTAGAAGTATATTAGAACACTTTAAAAAAAGGTTATGAAGACAGCTGTGAAGGAAGAGTAACCTACTTATTTTTGTAAGAGAATACAGTGCATATATTGCATATAGTGAATACAGAATGAAGTAGGGAGTCACCCTTCCAGCAATAATACATATTGAAAACTGAAACTCACAACTAGAAGTTTTGACTCTACCGTACACCAAGACAGGATTTTTGAAAGCCTCTATTTTAAAAATCAAGATGACCAGCTAACTCAAAAGTCATTCTAATCAGACAAATTTCTGAAGTGTTTCCAAAAAATCTTACTATAGAATTTATGAAAAATAGATGACCTGGAAACCAGTGCATTCTCATTTTCCCAGGCCTTTGCATTCTCATTCACATAGACCTTTAGCCACAGAATCACAGGTAAACCAAAAATGAAATGTTATTTTATACGAGACTGCTAAATTCTAGATTGTGTTTGAAGCACAGCTATGTGTATATAGATGTAAAAATACTTTTTTCTTCAATTTTGAAATCTCAAGCACACATTCTGTAGCTTTTGTTACACTATTCAAATAATTGATCCAGAAGGGAAAATAGAAATATTCAAAATGCAGCACTAGTAACAGATTACCCTAAGAAATTCAGATATGCACATCTGAATGCTGGTGATGGCACATGCAAAACTTCCTACACCGGGCAGAAGAAACACGTTTTTATGTTTCCCAGCACAAAGCAGTCTATTCTCCACTATAGTCACAACCTCAGGTGTTTAAGTCCAACATTCACATTCTGCTGATGCTACATAAAGTGAAGACAAGCATACCCCTTCTTTGCATTTTATTTCCACACATACATTCACAACCAGTTAAATAAATTTCTGTACCAAGGGGGAAGAATATTACTATTTTAATCCTGATCAGCTTGTCATTTGGTCCAGTTCCCCTGTTTGCTTTCACTCCTGTAACAACTGAAATACAAGTAGAAAATACTGCAGGACTGTGTAGCAATATTACAAAAGAGGAACAAAAGTAAGTCAAAAAAAGGTAGAAATGCAACACTTTTCCCTGCACAGAAACTGAAAGAATGCATCTCCACTGAACTGGAAGAAAAAAAGCGCACAGAAGTCTGGATCTCCTGTAAGAACAGCTGAACATAGCCTTTCCAGTTTCTCTTGGGAAGTTTTCAACTTTGGGCAGTATCTCAGCATTTGTGCTTCATGGCAAGCTGAAAAATAAAGAAAAAATGAATTAAAGAGAGAGCACATATAACAACAGTTATATCAAGCTAATGTGCCTAGTCTGTCTCAGAAGAGCTTGTAAACCGAAAAGATCCAAAAGGTGCCCGAAACCCATAACTTCTTTGCACACACATACGCAGACTCATTCCCTTTGCTGTGACAGATATGCAAAGTCTCCCTTTGCTATGCTGAGGAGGCAGGATTTATCTGCTTTCATAGCTGTGTTTCCCAACGTTCCCTTACTTTGCTATCTGTGAGGAGGGCTAGAGCAAGATGCTAGAAAAAAGACATGCTTAAAAGAACAGCCATTTAGACTTAATGCTTTGGATGGTTAAATACCATCAGAAATTCTAGACAAGTAATATAAAACACCTGTTCAGCAGCTCTGCCACTACGTAATGACGAAAAATTAAGGACTGATTGCCTTTCTACCTCTGCGATTACTGATTATTTCCATTTCAAGTAATTCAAAAATTGACTTAAAACTGGGAACAGGAGGAAGAAAAAAAGAGCTAAAGCGAGTTAAATCCTGTATAAAAAGTGTATACAAACTGACTCTGGCAAGCCAAGCAGAGAAGTTAGTTTTAGGCTCTGTATAATAAAAAAATTGGTATCTGCAGCTGATAGCATGCTATACAAAGCTGAGATGAGGGAACCCACTAGGAAGTTACCTAGAAACCAGAATTGGCAGGAGCAGTTAAAATTTCCTCATTTGCTACCAGCGAAATGCTGACCAATAAATTACTCCAATTAATTAACATAAGGCTTTGGTACTTAAGGACCTGGTCATAAATATGCCTTTTTAAAAACCTATTATTTGTAGAGATATAGTGGAAAGGCATTTCAGCATGAAAGAACTCCAACACTTTTCCTTCTCCCCTCAAACAACAAGAACCTTTTTCAGAAAGAACTGTCTTCAGCAAGCAACTAACAGTAAGTTTTTATTATTCAGAATCCGTACCTGAACTTTTGTGCAGACACCAACAAGGGGAAGGAAGTTTTAGATGCAAACAAAGAAAGTGAAGAAGGTGCCATAAGAAGGACCTGATTGATAACCTGAGCTAAATTCCAGCCTTTACACAACTAAATACAGGTATGTCCTTTCATTCCACAAACTGATAGCCAAATCAGAAGCTACTGTTTGCTATTGTTTCTGGTGCAAACCAAGTGGGGTTTTTGTTCCTTGTTTTTGTTTTTGTTTTTTTTTTTTTCCCCCCCCTCAGGTGACTAAGGTGTTTCCTTAAGATACTACAAAGAGTACCCCTACACCATGCATCTTCCACTGTCTCCATTATGTTTTATATCTTAAAATAACCTGACATAGAGCTGAAGTAACGTCCAGACACACAAATTAAGCCGTAAGAGAAATCTGTATCCAGTTATGACACTACAGTGGTGAAAATAATTATGTGCTGACAATAATTCAAAGTACTTTTACTGCTTTACTGAAGGCAACTATAAAGCAACCAAAATGGTAACTCTGCTTTGCTGAGTGTTCAAAATACTAGTACATTAGAATGTGCATGTTTCTCTTCACTGTCACTGTTTTGCCTGAAAGTTACAATTTTGCCATTTAAGCCACACTCAGCTGGACCTCACTTTTCTGGTTTCACTGGAATAATAGGTTTTCTGTACAAACAACATCTAAGGTCTGAGTAGCAGCTGCCCCTCAAAGACTTAACCAGAGGAACAATTAACAATAAACAATACTGTACTTGTTCCTAAATGGTCCACCAAAACCCCAAGAAACTCTCTTGCAAACCAAAACTCACCAACATAAAATGACAGTCTTTCTAACCTAATACATTCTTGGGTGGCTGCCCTATGCATATTTGTGACATAATAGCAGAGGAATTGCAGGACTATCGCACCTCTAAGATAGAATTCAAGACTTGGGGCACCAATACAGGAAAATTTGCAACAAAAAAATGTAAACCCCATTTTACTAAGTCATCCTTGATAATTAAGATGACAGGTATTCATCTATGGTCCTCTAAGAACTAAACTCTTGTTTTGTTTTCTTCAAACACAAAGATGCTCTTTTCTTTTTAAAAAGACAAAACTCAAGTATTTATTACAAATCCTTAACTATCATCCATTGAAAGGCTGTCCCACTCCTGTTTCAGGCAGCTGGTAATTGGGACAGCACATGGCCCCTCACACTCCTCTGAGGAATATCTGTAATCTGTAGAACTGGACCAGCAGGGAGGTTTCATAAATCTCAGCCCAGCAACCAGTCCAAATGGAGATTATCCTTTTATATTCTGCATCACTTAGACATTTCCTGCAGAAATTGGTGTCACTTTCTGCCACAGAGACTCAAATGACTATGTACCAAATCCTGATTGAGATTTTCCCCCTATTTTTTATTTGATTAAAAAAGCAAAAAACCCCAACACCTTGTGTTGTGGATGTTTTTA